ATATTGGATTACCAATGCCAGTGCAGCAGTGAGGCAAGAAATGCACAGATGCGTGACCTGCCGACGCAATCCTGGTGTGGCAGGTAATCATATCATGGCAGACTTGCCTGCTCAACGTGTGAATCCTGGTGAACCTCTTTTCATCCTCTGTCAGAGTGGATTACTTTGATCCATTTGATGTAAAACGTGGGCGAAAGCATGAGAAAGGGCTTGGAGTTATGATCACGTGCCTTACAACGTGTGCTGTGCACCTAGAAATGCTGTATAGTTTAGACACAGACTCTTGCATTAATGCATTGCACCGTTTCATCGCAAAAAGCTGGCAAGTGAAAGTCATCTGATTGGATTCTGGCACCAAGTTTGTAGGAAATGAACGTGAGCTCAGAGAGGAGTTAGAGAGCTGGAACAAACGTCAGATTCATCAAGAGATGTTTCAAAATGAACATTCAATCCTCCTGCTGGTTCAACAAATCAAAACTGTGACAAACGTACGGTACGAGAACCAACGTCAGATGACGAAACATTGTGAACAATGTTGTGAGAGGAAGGGGCTATTGTCAATAACCATTTATCAATCCAGGGCATTAAGTGCCCCAAATGACTTGGAAGCACTCACTCCAAATCACTTGTTTCTCTTGAAAAGAAAACCAATTTTGCCACCAGATATGTTTGATATGGATGGTCATTATCCTAGACGGAGGTGGCGTCAAGTGCAGTATTTGGCGGATTTGTTTTGGAAGAGATGGTCACAGGAGCGACAGAAGTTGAGTGAAGCTAAGACAAAATTTGAAGTGGCAGTGTGCTCATAGGGGCGATACTGCACCTGTCAATGGGCAAAGCTGAAAGGTTTATGTCTGACAAAAAGGGTGCTGTATGACGTGTTAAGGTGAAAGCTCAAAACATAGGTTTGGGACAGACCATTTGGCAAACTGTGCTTGCTTTTAGAGAGAGAAACACTTAAACTGTACGGAGATTTTGTGATGTGGGCTTTGAGACTTATTAAGTTACTAGGGTTCACAATACATGAAAACCTTTCTTACGAAACATGAGTGATACATGATATTTTATTTGAAGTTAATATTTATGTTTATGTACCTATTTCTTTGAATTTTAGAATCAAGAGGCCTCCTCCGACCAGTATGTGTCTTATTCATTTTCAATGCGCTTGTTAGCATCCAGAGTCGGGTTAATTCCGACTCCGACATCCACGGGTAGTTGTCTTCGTACATATGTCATGATTCGACATTTCTCAAAACAAATGGATTCATATTTTTCAATATAAATTGCCTGATTTAGATGAGTTTGGGCAATAGATCAAAATATCGAGACTTTTGTACAACTCATACTTTGGCTTGTTATACCGTTTCGGCGGTGGATAGATATGTAGAGCAGGCCGAACGAGAGTTGCTCCCGTATTGGACACATGTCCATAAAGACATTGAAATTTTAAGTCCCCATAATAGCATTTTCCACCAGGATTCCAACACGAAACGAGCGATACTTCCGTTTATTGGTTTAATGAGTCGTTTGCTGTTTGGTACTGCTACAATCGATGAGGTTGAACGACTGGCGCAGTATGCTAAACAATTGTTGTTGCATGCTGCTAATACTTCACGTGCTTTTCAATCGCTTTTCAAGTTCGTCAGACGTCGTCATTTGTGACTAAAACAAATAAACGCACTTCATCCGCTCTCGCGGGTATTGCAACAAACCATAACGATATCAAACTAGTCACTGCACAAATACAAGATTTGGAAAGATTTATTTTTCTTATGATGAAAATCTTGTTAGATCGCCTCACGTTCCTAACTACAATTAGACAAGAAATTGATGAAATGTATTTGGGCATTCAACAGGAAGTTCATCAACTATTGAGTCCATCTTTACTCGCAGTTTCGGAAGTAAAGATGGCATTACAAATGATTCAAAAACGTCTCAATGCAGAATACCCGTTGTTTCATGTTGCACACAAGGATCCAGGTTTTCATTATCGGGAACTCACTGTTCTCGGAATTCAAATTCAATTTTAATTTCGCTTATTGTTCCCATCCAGACTCTCCTTGATGTATATCGAATATATTCTTTTGGCTCACCACTTAATCAATCAAGTACGCATGTCACTCAGGTTATGAATTTACCGGATTATCTTGCTGTTTCAGAGTCGAAAGATCAGTATATTGAATTTTCGGCTAGGGACTTTCAAACATGTTATGGTGAACACGAAATACACTGTCCAATTTTTCATAGTCCGAAACCAAAAACATCGCTCACATGCGCACTTGCTTTGTTTACTCAAGACACAAAAGAAATTTAATCCTTGTGTGCTACAATATTCCGGTTAAGTTGGCTATGTTCAATGGCCCTCGAAATCAAACCAGGCACAATTCTTTTAACTGGCATAAAAAAAATAATACTAACGTGCAAGGGTCGTATTGAGAAGCGTCCAGCTGGTCAGATTTGTATATTTAAAATTCCTTGTCACTTTGCATTGAAACTGGATGAAAGGAAAGGACACAGTATTTTAAACGTACTATATTTGTTTAGTTTAACCGTTGGCTAAATTGCATATCATCACCAGCAGCGGAAGGGAGGGTGTAAATCATGCAGGTAGCAGAAGCATTGTAAGTCCCCACGGTCCCCAGTAAGGTGGCCTAACTTTGGTTGCTGGTGATCTATAGCCCATTTATATATTGTTTTGTTGATTGAAAATGTATTCTTTTTAATGTTCTCAACTAGTTTTAAAATCGAAACTTTGATACTCTAGTTATTTTTACTGTCCTTCGCTGACAGATATTTATTCCATTCAAATCTATGTATTATTTGTCAGTTCTCGTCACGATATGGCTGAAATACTGCCGATGTGACGTTACATATTAACTCACTCACTCACTCTATTTTCAGAGGTTCAGGACAAATGTTCCAAAAAGAAAGCACATGTTATCTGAAGTTTACTGACAAAACAAGATGTGAAATACTGGACAACCCGTGAAGATCCGGGGTAGAATAGGTTTTCAGCAACTTAGGCTTGCTCTTAAAGGCGACTATCGGGTGATTGATGCATGTCATCGTATCCTGTGATCTAGATCTATGCATAAACATTTAGAGCGACAAATGCTATCTATATAACAGTGTGACAAGAGGAATGGCTTCAACTTCCCAAAAGCAAACTCGCCAATGTCGAGTAATATTCCAGCAGCCCCAGTCTACAGGGGGCACGGGTGGCCCAGTTGTCAAAGGCGCCGTGATTCGCTGTGCAGAGTTGCGCCCCTTGGGCACGCCAGAAACCTATGATTGTGGGTTTGAATCCCGGTTCGCCCAGATTATGTTTCTAGGTTTGTCAGCACCATATCCGTGTTCGTGGGTTTCACCGAAGTGGTAAACGTCTGAGACCTGCATCACTTTCCTCCAACCTTAAGCTGACACGCCGCCATATCACTGAACTACTGTTAAAAGCGGCGTTAAACCCAACTCACTCACTCACTTTGACGTCTACATTACACAATGCATGCTCTGTCTACGAAGATTTCAGTGAGTGAGTTTGATTTTACGCCGCTTTTAGCAGTATTCCAGCAATCACGGCGGGGGACACAGGAAATGGGCTTCACATCAAAGAGCGTCATGCAACTCTTTCTCAAAAGTTGTTTGTTGTTTGGTTATCAAGGATAAGACATGTGGGGGACATTTCAATATTTAACGCACCAGTGACAAAAATGATGCCCGATGCAATTCACTATTTTGACTTGTACCACATGTTCCCGTGCCTTTTCAGGTTTGGTTTTGCATGTGTTTGTGACGATTGGCACTGATGGAGCAGGATACGCTCACCATTCTGCGAACACCTGTTATCATCATTATGTGATAGAATTTCATAAACACATGCTTATATTGGTTGGTTTGTTGTTTAACGCCGCACTCAGCAATGTTCCAGCTATATGACGGCGGTCTGTAAATATTCGAGTCTGCACCAGACAATCCAGTGATTGACATCATGAGCATCGATCTACGCAATTGGGACCGATGACATGCATCAACCAAAGCAACGAGCCTGACCACCCGATCCCGTTAGTCGCCTTTTACGACAAGCATAGTCGCCTTTTACGGCAAGTATGGGTTGCTCCTATTCTACCCCGGAATCTTCACGGGTCTCATGCTTATAATTATAATCGGTATCGTACAATGACTTGTGGTTCTGGAAAATTTTCTTTTGCTGGGTTTATTCAACCTGAGTCTGAATGCCTTATTTCTTAACGCCGGATGAGGCGACTATGTTTGTCATAAGAGTCAACTAACATGATCAGGTGGTCAGGCTCGCTGATTTGCATGCATTTCATCGTATCCAAATTGTGTAGATCAATGCTCATGTCAGTCACTGGATTTTCTGATCCAGACTCGATTACTTACAGACCGCCGGCAAATAGCTGGAGTATATTCTGAGTGCGTGGATAAACAAAATAAAACAAAAAATGGTCACAAATACACTGTCAGTGTTAAATATAAAAAAATGAATCGTTTAACGGCTATAAGAAAGCCAAATGTTCTTGTAAACTCTCCTGTTTTTCATACCCCTTGAAACCCGTGAAGATGCGGGGCAAAATAGGTCTTCAGCAACCAATGCTTTCCGTAAAAGGCAACTAACGGGATCGGGTGGTCAGGCTCGTTGACTTGGTGGATACATGTCATCGTTTCCGAATTGCATGGATCGATGCTCATGATGTAAATCACTGGATTGTCTGGTCCAGACTTGATTATTTACAGACCGCCGTCATATACCTTGAATATTGCCGAGTGCGGCGTTAATCAAAAAACATACCCCCTCTTCTAAGACATGCTTCACGCCAGGCTTAAGTTTCCCTCTCATCATGTTCTTAGGCCGTTATGTAACTGAAATACTGTTCAAAGTGGCGTATCTCATACATTGAACTTCAATATGTAATGTAACGTGAAGGTCTTGATATTGTATCAGTAGTTCATATATTTCAAAATTATTGCGCAAACCAATGTTGCATTGTACACCTTGTTTATTTCCAGGCACGAGAGGAGACATCAGGTATGAGAAGTTAATTAGGAACACGAATGTCAAATGCCAAAACAACAATTAAGTACCATTATAATATTGAGCGAGTGTTTACATAACATTGATCAAAGCTACTACGAACAATACTTTTAGCTGTAGAGACATGTCATTGCTGTTTGGCTTTTGAAACAGATGTACAGCCCATGCAGAACACGTCAGCGGCCGCAGCGTTGCTTCCTTTGGATGAAGATGATGACACAGAGCCTGGACCAGCATTGCTGACACTTGTCACGCCCTGCTTGATCTTTTCACCAATCTGTACACAACAAAAGACACAAAACACTTATTAACACGTGAATAAGGGATTTTCTGTCAGTGTTAGGCATTTTTCGGTTTCAGCTAAAGAACCAGATACTTTTTATTAAAAGCTTTGAGTCTAATTTTGTTTTGTTTTTAAAATCACGTTGCAATAATGAAATTGTTGGGGCATGCAATTTTCCTGTTTTCCAACAGTCTGAAGCATAATTATTTTGATCAATAATTTTAGGGCACAATTTACTATTTCGATAACATCCCAGCCCAACATTATTACTTACAGGCCTCCGAGATGGGCTATTGCTGAGTGCGGCATACTAGACAACACACAATCAATGAGCCGTAGAGAAAAATAGGCGCCGTGTAGTGTATGTGTTCAATTATGATGACAACTTGTTAGTTATACTAAGGAAACAAAGTTTAACTTATTGACATGCTGTTAAATATGAAACTGTTGGCTCCTGTAGTCTGACTTCTGTATTCTTAATACCTCAAGAAGTTAACTGATGTAACAACGTCACACCACTCGCCTGTTTGCATCTTGCTTGCCCATTTCTACACTAGGTTGCAAAATGTTCGCAGTTACTTGTCAAGATATCATATCCTTTTCTCCCCACTCGGCTGAGTGCATCCTTCACAATCTGTTTCCTAGTTTTAGGACTGAAAACAAAAGAATATCATTATCGCAATTTTTCTGGTGTTTTATCTTTGCTTTGTCTAATTCTGCCAAGTTAATTTAACCTGGTCACTTACTATCCTGAGTGTGAATAGACTGACGGAAGTGCTTATAACTTCGTTATTAGGGTAGCTAGAGGCATGTCCAGTTCTGTCTAAAAGTTGAACAAGAGATTTCCCTAAATGCGGAAGTAATGTCACAAAATCGGAAGTGCTTTTAACCTAATATCAGGCTTGCTAAAGGCGTGTAGCTACATGTAGGCTGCGTTAGAAAACATTGAAAGAATTTAAGAGGAATACACAAATATACTGGTGACATCAGCTGGTTCATGTGATACATGGTTCTGTTTGGAAATTTGCGGGGGCCTTGAGGAAAAGGTGTCCTGTTTCGGTTCTAATCCATCTTGTGTTTAGACATTGCTGTACAGAAGGATAAGGGAATTTGTTTCCATCACTACTGTGGGGTGGAGCTAGTGCTGCCAAAGCCCAGTGGCTAAATCATTAGCTCGGACGACTTTGGTTTAATTCCCTATTGCGTAACGGTTAATGGGCATTATATTTCACCCAATCACTAAAATTGAGGACCAATTTCTAGTATGCATTTTTGTGTTCGAATAGGCTTCATGTTTGTGCAATCAATTTTAGTAATTACAACGCCAATCCGTACGGTCAAATCACTTAACGTTTTACATTTCAGTACGTATTATGTGACGACTTTCTAACTCATCTGATTTAGCATTAGTACTGGAGAAAAGGTTCCTACCTTATTTCCAAATCCAAGCTGTTATCGATGTAGAAACTGCACTGCTGAATCACATCGCCGAGACTTTGTTTAAGAACTCCTTGATCCTTTGTCTGGTGTACTACCATTCCATCACCTGAGGTTATCGAAAACGTCTTTTACTACTCCCTTGATACAAATGAAATTGGAAACCTGCTAAGCGAAAGCGCACTTTAGAGTTCTTTTCCAAATATGTTTTGTAAAAGCCGTGCACGTGGGTTTGACCAGTGTGGTAAACGTTTGTAATCTCCATCACTTGGGCTTTTCCTCCCACATCAGGGTGACACGCCGTGATATGACTGGAATACTGTCCAAAGCCCAACTCTTACATCTATAACAAATGACTAAATATTGAATATGCGAACGAAATTGGTTCACATCAGCATATTCTCTTCATCATGGAGAGAACATTATGGGTCAACGCCGCTGTTATGGAACAGGAACTCTTCTCCTTGTAAGGTCCGTGTCACCTCCTCTGGGATTATCATGTCAGCTGAGGTTCTGGGGATGTTGTAGGGCACCTGTGCAGACTCTTTGTACCTCGTCGGAGTGTTATGAGCGGTGGGTGGGGTTGTAGCTGTGAGGCAGAGGTTTCATCAAGTGGGGTAACACGCTCTCTGCGTCAAAAATCTCAAGGCGTTTCACGCGTGTTCATTGCCTTACGCTAATGCTATTTCTGACCTTAGACACATCTGTCAGTCTACTGTCGGGTGCATAGTCATGAAAACGACCTTCATGTCCTTCCACTTTAACATTAACTTTGTTTTCTTGTTTCACATTCACACGATTCTACTTCCCCCATTAACGTTTTCTGATGCATAGAGATATCCCCCAAAGGCGAGCTCAGCTTTATCTCTTTGTGCACCCATTCCATTATTAAAATATAGAGCGAACACTATTTTATAGGTATGGTGTTAGTTTTGGTATTGAGTATGAACCATGTAATCCAAATCCATTTTTAAATGAGTGAGAAGCCTATAATAGATTTGTTATTTTCCCGAGGAGGGGAGTGGGCCGGGAGGAGGGGATAGGCAAGACACCAAACATTACGTATTTTTTTTTTTTAAATACTGTTAACATAAGAGTAAAATATTACAGTGTATAACAGATTGAGGATTAAAAGCAATTCTGATAATTAGGGAACAATAACCACCCATGTATATCGATCAATATGAGATATAGACCACAATCCACCAAGCCTTCCTGCCAGCCAGCATTAACTGTCTGATACGATGTTTAATATAAGGTTAATGATGGTTTATTAGGTGCGGTTTCCTTTAACCAACAAAAGAAGAGGCCTCTGGAAGAGGGTCTTGATGTACCCCCTCAGGTTCTAGAGCCACTCCTCGTGCAGAGCTGCAGGCAGTTTGTCCAGACTGTCAGGCGCTACAGGTACATGTGCACAATTAAAGAAAGTGGAAGGAACTACGTACCTATGTATACAGCATAATGGAAAAAGCCTTTTCTTTGGAACTGCAAGATGTCACCTGGCTCGATATCATTTTGATTTGAATCACGACAAACAACCTGCAAGACAAAGGATCAGTTAAATATGAACTAGATGCACCAGGAACATGAACAAACCAACCTTGGTGCTTCAATGCCTTACTATCTGACATCATGATCGGGTGGTCAGGCTCGCTGACTTGGTTGATGCATGTCATCGATCCCAATTGCTTGGATCGATGTTCATGACATTAATTACTGGATTGTCTGGTCCAGACTCGATTATTTACAGACCGCCGTCATATAGCTTGAATATTTCTGAGTGCGTCGTTAAACAACAAACCAACCAACCAAACCTTACTATCTGTTCCTTGATTAAAACCATTGGCGCAACAGTGTGTCTTTATTGTTCGAAATCTAGATCAGACGAACAACAAACAATTTGATTGATGTTATGAATAACGTCCCACGCCGTCGGGGTACGCTGGCGTGCAATCAGTCAAGTTACCTAGCCTGACCATCCAATCTATTTACAGTGCCCAGGGTTTTTATTTTCAGACATGAACCATAATCTATATATTTTGTATCCGTGTTGAACCATGTCTCATTAAAGTATGGCAAATGTCTCCGACGTTTAATATTTAATAGGTCATTTTGAATGATGATCAACACTTACCAATTTCAGAATACATGACAGAAGTTAGTTTTATAAATTAAAGAAGAATATTTGCAAACACTTAAAAAAAGAAAGATACCCCTTACCGCCATTTGAAGAATTCCCCAGAAAAAATACCTATGCATTTCCAATATCATACCATTATCTTTTTTGTTGAAATGCATGCCAACAACAGCCTCGTGCGTATGTTGTCTCTATTTAACATAATGAGGAACCTACTGTAATGCCATCACCTCCTGTCTAATCGACCGCCTCCGTGGTCTAGTGGTTAGAGGGTAAAAAAAGGACAGTAATCTAAAGTGACACAAAAATATGCTTTTCTTTCCCTTTTGCCATGTCTTGAAAAAATACATCGTTAAATAAAATTAACTATACCAAGATTGTATAGTCACATGGAAAATAACATAATTTTTAAATAACAAAACTTGAATTTATTGAAATATGCTTGTACATGACTAATGCTGGTTCGCTAGTGACAATTAAAAGTGGTGTACGTTGCACAACAGTCACACCTTGCCCTTCATCCCCTCTCAGACTTATAACTTCACCTCAGAAGCTCTTGGCATGACGTAGAAGCTTGTGGTAGTGTAGTTCACAAAGGCTCATAGCCATATGCTACTGATATTACCCATCCACACTCAGTTGGTGTGAGAAAGGTCTGTTTCGGCCCCCAGGCTTCGTACCCAACAGTGGCCAGTTTGAAATGCAGCTATTTTGGCATGTTGATACAAAGTTGATTTAGGAGGAATGGAATCAATTGATCTACCGTTGTTCATGAATAAATGTTTGTGCGCCTTATCAAATCTTAAACAATACTGGCCCAATCAAACATTAAGAGTGAGTACGGTTTAACGCCGCTTTTAACAATATTCCAGTTATATCGCGGTGTGTCAACTTTATGTGGGAGGAAAGCCGGAAGTGATGCAGGTCTCATACTTTTACCACTTTGGTGAAACCCACGAGCACGGGTATGGTGCTGACAAACCTAGAAACATAAAAGGGGCGAACAGGGATTCGAACCCACAATCATAGGTTTTAGACGTGTCCAAGAGACACAACTCTGCACAGCGAATCGCGGCGCCTTAGACGACCAGGCTACCCGTGCCCACAAAACATTAAGACCATAAAACGCTGAATGACTGGCAACATGTTCATCACATCCTGTTTGGCTAAGGATGAGATGTAGCAAGTTTCACTGACCTACAGTAAATCCTTCTCGAGACGGTAAACAAACTTTCTTTACATGTAGGCTATGACCTTCAGGATGAAACAGTTCCTTGAAGGAGATATGTATGATGTTATATCACTAAGCTTAACCACTATGTGCATGGCACAAGTTTTTGCAGTAAAAGGCATCCTAGTGAAAATAACAAGAATACGTTACGAATGACTTTCACTGAGGTTATTGTGATGTTTAAGCAATTTTAAGCTAACAAATGTGGTTCATCAGCAACTTTGAGGATCTATTTTAAGACGCATCCCACCCCTAATTGGGTGTGCTCATTTGTAACGTCACAATACTTTGAGACACAGAACAAAAAACTGTCTTATGTGGTTACATCAGTAAATTTGAAGATTTATTTACAAAAACGTGCTCTTTGTTTACAAATGATGAAAGAGTCATCAGGAGAAGATGTTGGCATATTTTCTAAATAATTGACGAAGGACGTGGATATCCTGTCTTTCATACATATTTTTTATGTCATCTGTTTATTATCATCAGGATGTAGAACGCCCGAAATTTATTTTAAAGACATTTATCATGATTACACCTTCGCTATCATTTCCATAGTTCCCTTATTTTTTATCGGTAGTATATTATGAAAAAACGTGCCTATAGTAGTACGATGACAAGCTATCAACAAAGTTTGACAAGCATAGATAACTGAGGAAAATGCACTTTCCTCGGAAATTCCACACCGTTGTGATACAGGACCATAGATGCAGATACATTTAATGTAAGAATGTAATTTATGCTAACACTATAGCCAAGTTGTGTATCTAAACATTCAGTACAAATGTAATTAATAAGGTTACTTACTGAGTCGGCCATGTTTTAGGAGAAACGTCTATCTGTTCAGACAGATTGAAACCGGTTTTAACTTGGGCACTGCTGAGGTGGTGGTCGTAGGACGGTTGTACATGTACCCGTGAACAACATGCAATCACGTGATACGGTTTTCCCGAGGAACGCAAATGTCTGCTGAGTCATCCATGTTTAAAGGAGAAACGCCTATCTATTCAGGCCTTGTGCATGTACCGTGACCAGCTATTTGCAATCCTGTAATACGGTCTTCTCGAGGAACGACAATTTACTTTATCCTTCAGGCAAATAATACGACACGAGTGCTGAGACATAGATATGGCTTGCGTGAATGTGTAAAAGAAAAGTAGTTTAACTTTGTGAAGCTGTGAAGTAGCTTAACACTTGTAGTATGAATAATGCAATATAGCAGACCTACAATGACCACCAATGGTAATTGTATCCATAAACCTTGAATCTGCACGTTACCGTTATACTGATACGCACACCTTTAGAGTCTAGCGAAACAATAGTCTAACGAGACAATTAAGCATGTATTGTTCGTAGATAATCGTAACAGGTACTCCATTTAAACAGAAACTTACGATTTCATAAGAAAGGAAATTGACATTCCAGCGTGCGTTTAAGTTGCCGTCTCACTCATGTCACGCTTACATATACACGCTTCAAAAAAAGAAACGCACAGGTAGATTTTAAGTAAATTCATTGTACCTAATAAAGTCGATACATATAATTTAATATCATAGATACAAATATGAGCCCCCCCCCCCCCCCCCCCCCCCACACACACACACCATGACACTACCGCCACCGAATTGGTCGAATTCACGTACGCAATGTGGGGCAAAACGCTCATTTCGACGACGATAAACACGTTGTCTTCCATCTCGCTGGTGAAGAAGAAATCCTGGTTCATCGCTAATCCACACTTGTCTCCAATTTCTCAAATTCCAAGGCTGTAAGGTATGGCACTTACGCAAGCGTCACTGCCGATGGATCTGTTGCAAAACAGGGACGATAACTGGTCTTCTGGGTCGGATTTCAGCCTTGCGAAGATTTTCCTGACAGATATCCTCCTCAAACCAGGGATGCAGCCTGCAGTCTCCGTAGCTGTGGCATTGCGATGACGTAGGTGGAACAGTCGAATGTAGCGATCCTGTGCATGGATGGTAACTCTTGGTTGGCCTGTTCTCGGACGGCCTGCAGTGGAATTGAACTGTGCGATCGGTCACAAAGGCGGCAAATGGTGCTGTGATGGACGTTGAATTGGCGTGCAACAGAGGACTGCGATTCTCCTCTTTGGGTACGTCCTATGGCGATGTTCCGATCGGCAGCGCTCAGTCTCGGCATTTTCGAACTTGAAATATGTTGACAAATGAATGACAAATTATTGGCTTATGCTTGCCTTTTTATAGCCACTACCACCTCCATGACATTGTTGAACAAGTGTGAAAACAATGCCGTTTAAGACATTGTCGAATATCAGGCCACCAACATTTTGCAATAACATATATCCAATGTATATACCGGATGTTTTGAGTAGTCAGGTTCAATGAACTACATACAACCTGTGCGTTTCTTTTTTTGAAGAGTGTTCTCTGCAAAAAAGAAACGCAAAAGTAGTAAAATCCTTAATATCTAACAAAGTGTTGCCGACATCCACACAAAATTAACACCAAAAATGAATTGGTAATTTACGCATGTATTGGGATTGATTTAGGTGGGAAGAATTGGGTTAGGCAGAAATTTGGTGAAAACATGGAAATATCTTAATCACGGTCGGTCACGTATCATTACTAGTGAACAGGACAGATTCATACGGTTGCGTCACTTACGTGAAGGAACCACCACGGCCACCTCTACAAATACGGCAATACCAGAATTGCGTAGGATATCAGCTCAGATGGTGAGGAACGTTTATGCACTGAAGGTATTCGCCATCGACGACCAGTTCAAAGCGCTATCTTGACGAATCTGCATCGTTGGTTGCGACGTCAGTTTTTGGACTCTAATGGTGGCCATACAAGATATTGAGAACAGATGACCTTCACCTTGACAATCTACTGTTTCGTGTGTGCCATATGAAACCTGGATCAATGACAACGATGTTTGCCAATTTTGAACAATCGATTACCATCTATTGATTATTGATACAACGTATAAAATATACGTATAAAATTACTTTTGCGTTTCTTTTGTGCAGAGTATATTATTATTAAGTCTTTGAAAGGCATTTAGAAGTGATACACATAAGGAAGAGAATTTATGGATGTCAATTTCTTTATTATGAGGAACACAACGTTTCGGAGTATATTCTCACTCCTTCATCTGGTGAATATATGCTATGAGGCAGAGAGCATATATACTGAGTCAAAATAAAAACTTCACAGTTCTAAAAGTAATCCCATATATGAAATACAACGGACAAATGTATCAGAGAAGGTAAATTTTAATCATTAATGTCCAAAGAAGGATTTTAATTAACGGTGGTAACCATAATTTGTTCCAAGCACCTACGGTATTCGGTAATAACATCAACAGTTTAAATCATAAGTCCCAAGCACGAGAATCTGATGGCACACAAGTTCAGTAGCGTGTATAGCCACCATGTGCGTTAACAACTGCCACACAACGCCTCCGCATGGACCTTGTGATGCTTATTAACACATGAATGGGAAGACGACGCCATTGTTGCTGCAAAACGGTGCCAAGATCTTGCAAATTCTTTGGTTGGTTCTGGAGAGTGCGCAGACTTCTGCCAAGAGCATCCCAGGATTGAGGTCGGGAGACCTTGACGGCCAGTCCATGACGTTGACTCCCGCATTCTGAAGGAAATTCCTTGTCCAAATTGCTATGTGGGGTCTGGCATTGTCGTGTTGGAAGATCAAACCGGGTCCATGTGCTGCCATACAAGGCAGAAGTTCTGGTGCCAGTACCTGGTCGCGGTAAGCAGCAGCGTTGAGGTTGCCACGGATGACAAGAAGCCTTGAACGTGCATTGCCACAGAAAGCACCCCACACCATGACGCTTCCGCCTCGAAATCTGTCAACTTCCTGTACACAACACTGGGCGTAACGTTCATGACGGCGCCTCCACACCCTCGCCCTACCATCAGCAAATCGAAGATTAAATCGGGATTCATCACTGAAGACGACTTGATTCCAATTCCTCTAAGTCCATCGCAAGTGTCGCTGTGCCCACAATTGACGTTGACGTCTGTGTTCTTGCGTCAGAATCGGCCCGCAGTATGGCCGTTGTGCTTGAAGGTGAGCAGTTCTCAGACGGCCTCGAACAGTTTGCGCACTCAGTCTACCTCTTAACAGTTCATTTCTGGTGGATGTAGCCGTCAAAAATCGGTTACGGAGGTGACGTAAGACAATCTGACGATCCTCTGCATGTGACGTCACACGTGGTCGACCTGGCCGAGGGCGATCAGCGGTGGTACCCGTTTGCTGTAGACGCGTCTGTAAATCATAAACAGTCCGTCGACTAGAACCTATCGTCCTTGCGACTTCAGCTACGGACGTTCCCGTCTGCAACATGCCGATGGCACGTTCACGTTGCACATTTGAAAGGCATGGCATGACAAAAGGCCGTAAAGACTTTTGTTTTCTTGCGTTTTTCTTTTTTGGTTAATGACTGCTAACAAGTATGGCCGAAAACACGTGCGGTATTATGGCCACGTGACCAGTTGCACGTGAAAAAACACTTTTGCCACTATAGGGCTGTGCACATGATTTTGATCGATTTACCTGCACAAAAACGGGTGTTATCTGAAGACCTTACTGTTTAAATACACAATAAGGGCCCATAATGATAACTGGTCAAAATGTTAAAATTTTAGGATTGTGAAGTTTTAACATGTAAGAACTACAAAAGTAATAAGATAACAAAAGGTGGAAACTAACAAGGGAAGCCAACATATAATTGGCGCTAATAGGTGATCAACAAAAGACAATGAATGGAAGCCAACACTTTACAATAGTTAGCGCTGATAGTTAATGCTGATAGTTTAAAATATTAAATGACTGATTAGTAATTGGCAATGGACAATGGGCAAACGGGAGACCGGGGGTAATTAGCACTGATAGGTAAAAGAATAGAAGTAGTATAAAATCAATACCTTCAGCTCCTTCCACCCCAATGAATATTCATGAGCCTAGTGTTATGCTAATAAACATGCATGACGTCACAATGAGGACGGAGTCATTATGCATGAATGTTAAGAATGTGAAGAATGCGACCTTTGTTAAAATGTATTAGCCTAGGAATTCTTTAGGAAGGCCATTGAAGTAATTTCGAATGTAGTCGGGTAGATACCTTCAGATATATACTAGAATGATCGTCATCAAATGGAATTTGACCCTTTCGTGAAGGAATGTGGTCATGTGTTAACACCATTCTCTGTTTAGTGTAGCCAATCTCTCTTCACCTTAATAAAACAGAGCTAATCATTTTAATGTTAATTACAGACATGATGCCCAAAGGTTATCTAACCGATCAGCACACTTTTCCCTTTCAGCAGCTAATGAATTTAAAACGTATTTCTAGATATAATGATTGCATATATTTGCTTGTCTTTCCATTTTCAACTGAGTTTATCAGAGAGTAGAGTTGTGAAAGCCTCTGTGTGTGAACGTATCATCATGGCAACAATGATAGCAGATAGGTTCGTTTTGTTATATCCAAGTTCTCTCCATTCAGTTAACACTAGGCTACTATCATTCATACCGATGACAAAGAATTTAACCGTGCAGAACAATATTACACCTATTGCAAAGCCGTGACATTTGGAGATTTGGCGACACAGTCGAGGAGATTTTAAAATGTTCATTACCTGTAGAGCAGAAACGACTGGGTAAATGCGTCTCTTGCAAAATATTGTCAATCTGCTTACTTAAAAGACATTCTGATCAACTGTTATCCCAGAATTCACGTAGAGGCTAGTCCTTATGACTAGTGATGGGGTGTTGGACAATCTCCACATGACTCGAACATTCAGTATGGAGAGAATGTTTAGAATTTCAGATAAACTATTCAGTGCAGAGTGACATTCCACTTCGCTCAGCCATTCAACATAAAGAATAAACTTGGAATTCTGAATAAACTATTTATTTCAACAGGATTTGGAAAAGACTAGCAGTGAGATTATGACTTTATGTGATGTTTGCCAACTACTTGAATAATT